CTCCACTCTTCCTCCATCAGTTTTGGATAATTGCAAGAAATAGTACTTCCCTTAATTTCAGTTTCCCTAAAACTGTCTCTTTTTTACTTTTGTGGGCTTTTTTTCCATAGGGAGCCACTGACAACTGAGAAAATCCTACCTCCTCCTCACTGTAGGCAGCCAGGCTTTAAGCAATCCTTTGATTCTCTAATATGTAATATCAGTGTGTTGTACTTACAACAGCCCCTGCTCTGACTTTAAGACAAGCTGGAGTCACTCGTACCTGTTACCATAGCATTACTGTTAAAATACAGGATTATTTATTCCTATTGCAACGGATTTGGGGAGAATTTAAGTGAACCATGTTAGGAAAAGCAAAATGCAAGCGTAGAATCACATACTGCACGGACTGGATTTTAAAATTCCTTCATGGGTCTCTTCAAACCATGTGGTCTTGGCATCCAAATAAAGCACCAAGAACATATGGCCGGGGGGGCTTAGTCCCTTGAGCTAGAAACCAACCTTCCATCTCCAGTTTGCCACTCAGGGGTAGCAATATGAAACGGTACAAATTCTTCCTGTGGAACACAACCTTTATCAAGAGCTGTGGGCAAGCACTGGCAGAGCTGTCTTGTCCTGATAGGGTTGATTTTCAAAACTAATTAGATTTAGACACTGGGTTTGGAAAGGCGAGAGAAGTATTAGCATAGTCATGCCCAGTGGGACGTGGCACAAATATTTCCTTAATTGAGGCTGCTAATAAACATCCTTCTCTTCCAACTTCAAGGATTAATTTACACCAAGTGGCAGAAGGTAAGGACAGTTAGCATTCTGTAGTAGGTAACTAGCACGTGTCTCTGTTGTAAACAAGTAGCACTGTTGTAAACATCTAATGCTGATTGCTGGGGCAGGTTTTTGTTCTCATCCTTTTGACACTTTGAAGGGTTATTAGGAAGGTACTTGAGCAGAAGAGATGTTTGAGAGAGGGAGGAGGGCATGATAAAAAGGGAGTTTAAATAGGTCTCAGTATTACTGGAGGCAGGCTTGACTGGGTTTCATACTGTAGCCTCAACTCTTGAAGCATCTTCACGGGTGTTTGAAATAAGCCATTGAGGATCTTTTGGTTCTGCACTTGGCTTCTGGTTTCCTGCATTTGTTTCCTGGCTTCTTGCTTCCTGAGGGAGCAGCATCATCCACCAGACATGGTCCAGGAGTTGCTGGGAATTGGCAGCAGCACCAGATCTTCTGAGGACAACCACATTGGGCAAAGGTGCAAAGGCACAACCTGGCACCTAATGGAAGAAGCTGGGTGGCTGGAAGCCAGGAGATGCAGGGTTTTTTTCCAGTTCTGGCAAAGTATTCCTGTGTGCCTGTGAGAAATGCCTTAAGCCTGGCAAGTCTGGCTTTTTCCCCATGGAAAAAGAGATTTTGGAGTTTTTTCTTTAGAAGCAAACTTTTGGGATGGGTGTTGTTTCTGCCTGGGAAGTGTCTGGCAGAAAGGGCTCCCCCTGTCTTCTGTTGACTTCAGGCTGTGCTTGTGGTTACCCACCACTGGTGCAAAGTGTTGGTGGCAATTTGTGCCATTGTTCATGTTGGGAGTAAAAGATGTGGGGAGTGGAAGCTGTGAAGGAGCTGAGACAGTCACATCATTGAGAACCACTCTTAGGGGACACCAAAAGCTGTAACTACTTTTGGACATATTTTCCCTA